ATAATGGAGCCAATAAGTGACGCAAATTAATGTAACATCAATAGGTCTTGGCGTTGGACGCTCACGATAAGTATTATTGGTAGATGTCAGATGACAGGTTTCGAGCCTCCGTAGTGTATCCTCTCCCAGGACTGGCGTCCAGACTAATGCACCTCCAATCACTCCGTGCCTGAGTCCCTCCAATCAAGTCAGTAGGCCACCTTTGAAAACTTGGTCGTCGCTCTCTGTACCTGTCACACCATTGGCCATCTCCTCCAACACCGGTTGGGAGCGCTCTGGTTGGCCGTCACGTGTGGCGGGTATCGTAGTAAGATACTGCCTGCTTTGAAGTTTGGACCGCAGATCTTGTAAAAGGGTGGGACACCCCAACCCACTTAGCCTACGGATGGTGCGATGGACCCTGCTAGTGAACTAGAGTACAGTGTAGGGGGTTTATCCCCACTGAAAATGGTGCTATTAAATGGGTCACTACTCCGCCCTGTACGGAGTATGTCGTAGTCCCTTCAGCGTATCTCACTGAAATAATATCTCGCCACCACAGCTCGCTTAAAAGTTCTCGTATATATCCGCTTTCCTATCCAAACCCCGAAAGTTCAGAGACCGCGAAGAACATGCCCAGTCCCATGAACATCTGCCAACGGTTCCCAGAGTCACATGTGGTTGGACGGATTCAGAGCCTAGAGCAATCTATCAAGCGGATATACCGCTCGCTAGTGTACTGATAGGAACGGCTCGCTTGCTAGCGTACTCGGTAATAGTTTCCATAGTGATTGTCTGGGGTATGGGGGATATGTTTGCTGTAATCATTTCTAATCAAGCACGGATCAGGGTTGCCAAAGACATTGGAGCGACCGCGGATTTAATATCCTGTTCACAGCTAGGCTTCTTAAACGACTACCATTCTTTACATATAATTAGAATGGCTTCCCGGCATAAAATAGGAAGAATAAGTTTCCCCCGTCCTCGCCTGGTCGGTTCGACGTCAAACAAAGAGTCTTTCTTTCATGCGCGACCGATGGGCGGAACAAATAGCCATGATCCTGAACAAGTGTGCATCGCTCCTACCCGCAATTATCTCTCACTTCTTCATACTTCGATCTGGCGTGGGTTATAAATGAGTAGGATAATAACGTATTCAAGGGGTGGTCTAACTCTAAACACCCGTGGAGAGACCAGGTAAATCTGGACTGGCGGTCATGCTCTCATTGGGTTCTTACTACGTATAGGAAATGGCCTGGAAGCAAAGTCTTATGAGATGGGACCCAGTGTGCACATTTTGTTCTTACGCAGGCTCGACCGTAGATGTCAAATTTTTCGTGTCCGTTGGGCTTTCGACGGTGGTGCTTTCATACTCAAAGCAAAGCGTTGAGTGATAGAAGGCTGCAAGGAACTATTGCATCAATCTGAGAGTCTCAGCCTCATGGGGCACTGGAGGTGTCGCTGCTTGGTCTGAGCCCCTACATAAAGGGTTTCTCACTAGGATGCTAGCTAGGATGGAAGTATTCATAGTGGAGACTAGAAGCAAACATTTGAGTTTCATACCTCGTTTGTCCAGTCCTTTTGCCCACATTGTTAGCCCACTAAAGTGGGCCATAACACTAGAAGTTTGGGCCACTCATGCAGCTACCCAGAACGGGAGGCGGAAAGCAAATCGAGACATGGAGCTGCTGTTATTAGAACAAACGAGTTCTCAGCGTCGCACGATTTGGTAGCAGGGAGATAGAATGGCCTTGGTTCAGGATTGAAACCGGATGGAACATCTTGATTATCTCTCATCCAATTTAGCCGTATGCCAGCAAGGCCTGAGACTACTAATGCACTAAGAGTTTTCTCGGTCTCACTGGTCTGCCTTTGGTGTATTTTGTGGGACCATGTTTGCACCGAACAGTTTCATTTTTCTTAGTGCGTAGTAGCCTAGCCGTTGGCTCAGGGCCAATAGTTTGTTGGTTTACAGACTGAGGTGGCCTCCATTCCCTCCGTAGCCGACACGGAGCTCTCGGATTGATAGTTGGCGCTGGCGCCAGGCTAAGTGGGGGGGAAGAATGATTTTCTGGCTTCCGTCTTAATACAGCATTTCGTTCTCAGATGATGATTGTCCTTTTTTCGTTTTCATTTTTTCTTTTCTCCTTCTCTCTCTCTCTCTCTCTCTCCTCGCTTTTACCTTTTTTCTTTTCTTTTCTTTTCTTTTTTTTCTTTGGTTGTATTTTCCCGCTCCCCACCAATTTCATATACATCCACAATCTACCCCATCAAAGGGGGAGGAGTAATGACACATCTCTCCGCCCCAACATGTCGAACATTCAATATGGACGGAAGCGGCGCTTGAGGCCGAAGTCTATTTGGCTGGTGGTTCTCGCTTGTATGAGTATCGGTTGGCTATTCAACATGGCTTCGTCATACCGTTTGTTTGCCGGTGCCCTGTGTAGTCTATGATAACTAAAGGTAGGCTGACAAAGTCATAGCTGGTACCTTTGGATCAGACGACGTACCACAGGTTCCATCAACAGTCGGTAAAGTGACCATGATATATGGTAACAACTCGGTTTACGAGAGGGCGTTAGACACACACAAAGAACATTGCCGACGATTACGGTATCCATTGTTTGTTCTGCGCAGACCTATTCTCGACGGTGTATGGAATAAATATGCCATCCTTCTGTCTGTCCTGCTACAGGAATTGGAGAAACCGGTGGATCGACAACTGCAATGGCTCCTGTGAGTTAAGCGACGAGCCCGACAAAGAGGCTACTTTCCCACTCACACTTGCTAATGATCGATGCAGCTGGTTTGACAGCGACACTGTACTCATGAATCCAAACATGCCTCTGGAAACCTTTCTGCCCCCAGCACATCTCTCGGACGTTCACATGCTGCTCACCAAGGACTGGAATGGAATGAACAATGGAGTGTTCTTCATCCGTGTACACAAATGGTCCGTCGAATTGCTTACAGCAGCGACCGCCTATCCCGTTGTGAACCCTGACGTTGAGCTTTATTGGCCCGACCAGTCGGCTTTAGACAACGTCTTCAAGGAGAATCATTACTTCTCTCGATCCGTTGTGTATTGCCCGCTCCGTTGGTTCAACGCTTACATGAGGAGCCCCGATGGGATGGCTATAAATCCGGATTCGCCTGCAGACCTTCAGGTTCACCCTGGAGATCTTCTCGTCCACTTTCCTGGAACAGGACAGGATCATTTAGGCCAAACGCTAGGTCCCTATATAGCTATCGCGGAAGAGCATCGAGCAGAATGGGAGCCAACTCTGGAGAGCACGCACTACACAGAGGAAACAGAGTCATTTTGGAAGAAGCATGCGCCGGTTGTCTCGTGATGAGTACTTTTAGTTGTTCTCCCGTATTCCTCCGCCAAGTATTACTTGTCCCTTATATATCGATATGAGGCGCCATTGTTTAGAGCCTGTAAATATGCTACGAGTTGATACCCGTTATAAATCGTCAAAACATTGCACACCTTTCCACTCTAGATAAGAACTTTGGTAAACGCACTTATCTCTGTACGCCAATTGCGGAACGTGGCGGGATGAAAAGCCAGAGCGATGACGAAAATTGGAAACGGCTGTAAAGAGC